TAATAAACATAACTGGACTGAATTTGCATTGTCTCTTGGAGTTCCTTGGGCTAGGCCTGACAGGTCATAGCTCAGCAGTGGCAATTCTTGAGCACCCTGAAGTATTGGAGCAGCACTGTGCCTTCCATATTAAGGAACACCCCAAATCTACAGACCTATATGGAGATTTGGGAGGAGAGGAAGGCAGGAAACATGGGGCATACCAGAGAGGTACCAGAGAGATGGGGCATATCCCATCTCTCTGGTACCTCTCTATTCACTCAGTGATGTTGGCCTTGTGGGGTAAACCAGATAGAAATCACAACCAGATGAGCTAATTCTACTTTATTGTAAAGCTACATGAACAGAATCTTGCAAGTCTGAAAGTACAATTCTCCCCCCTTCTCCTTCACAGCCTGAGAAACTAGGGAGGGTCCCTTCTGAGCCTCTTGCCCCATCCACTATCCATTTGTGGGCTATGCTATCTCTTATCTGACCATTCGCTTGGCAGCATCTCTTGGCCCTGTCTCCCAAGGTCTTTCCCACATACCATTACAGTGATCAGACCTGGTTGAAACAGGGGACATGGGCAGGCAGGCAGGCAGGCAGGCATCCATCCATCCATCCATCCATCCATCCATCCATCCATCCATCCATCCATCTCCCTCCCTCCCTCCCTCCCACAAGCCCTCCAAAACTGTGACTTCATTTTAAATGTAATTGAAATCTCATTAATTGAAAGCAATTAATACAACTCTTTCCTATATATAATACTTTTCTGTTTCTGTCGTGTTAGGAATTATATTTTGTCAGTCTGTTTCGGAAGAGTTTGGAGGAAGCAGAAGTTCTCTGCCTCTGCCTGAACTGTTGGGTCTACTTCTTTCATTTCTACTTCCATAAGGATTATCACTGCCCAGAGTCTGTTGGAACTGGGCAGCTTATAAATTCAAAAAAATAATAAATTATTATTGTTATTACTTTAGCACGTGCACTGGGAGGTTGTCCTCCTTTTAAACCAGAGCGGAGTTGAAGTACTGAAAAGGGATTGACCACAAGAAACAGACAGATGTAGACACCTAAGGCAAAAAGGCAGCCTTTCTCTGAAACGGATTAAAGGAAGAAGTCAAATCCTGGTACCTCTTCTCGCAAACGGTTCCCCAAATTCTTCGGCTAGAAAGGGATAGCCAATCAATGCGTCTCTCATACATCTTCACCATCTGCCCAAGCTGCTTCTGTGAAGCAAGGGGGAAAAGACACCAAGCTTTGAAACTACTGGCTCATGATGATGCAAATATTTCAGGTAGCGATCTCTGGAGTTTCTCCTTCTCAAGTCAAATTCCCATGAAAGGGTGGAGAAGGTGCTGCAGGACCCACTCCATCCCATGATCTGGAGGTTCTCTGTCCTTCACCCATCTACTGCATCATGCTTGCAACCATCTGCCCTGCCCTCCTAAAATACAGAAATGGGAGTGAGTTGCGCTGTAGTTCTGAGCTTAATCGTTTGTTTAGCCTCAAGACAATCGATGGTTAGGATGGACGGCATGTTAATTTATTCACCTGGTAATCATATAATATTGGAGGATCTACGTGAACATTTTTCACTGTCCCATCGTGCCATTCAAACTGCATCATGGCTTTCTGAAATGAAGAGGATACCACAACACCACAAATCAAATTACGGTGCACACTTTTAGAAGAGCCTGACCATTAGATGAATTCATCGGGCTATACCCAGCTGTTCTGGAAGCGAAATTTAAAATAAAATCACATACAGCCGGACTTGGTGGCACACCTGAAAGACTTCAAAAGAGAGCCGCAATTCTGGAACATGGTGCATTCTTTGATGAGATGCTAAAACAAATTGGCAGGTTTTGTATAATTATGAAATTATAGTACTATTTCTTTGAAGGCAATCTGACCAATTTGCCTTGACTGGCCTCTGTTTCCTCATTCGAGTCATATATGCTGTGAATAGTTTCTAATCACTGTAATGCGTGAAATCACAGTCAACACAGGTAAGATTTCAGTAGAAATGGCACAAAATTCACTACAGAATCCAAAAGCATTTGCTTATGTATAATTTATATAGAAGGTATTTCTTTCATGGCGCTCCTACTGCTAGTAGTGAGTCCTGTTACAATTCATGGTACTTGCATGTAAGGATTTGGGAAAGGATTGTAACAAGCGGCATGTTCTTATGAGTGTAGTCTCTCAATTGAAATGCTGCGTTCTTTGTTGAAGAAGGGAAGTTTTTAATTTATCCTTTTTTATTGCGAACTCTGAAAGTGCCTTTTCAAATTTCTGTAACTGGGTCAGCATAGTTAATGTAATTTTGTTTGTAAGATTTATAAAAAAAATAATTTAAAAAGTATTATCCTGATAACAATAAACACTGTCTTTCTTGGCATCCACATTTGCTCTATAGCAGATGTCAGCCTTACTAGGTAGACCAGACAGGAAACATGACCAGATAAGCTAATTCTACTTTATTGTAAGGCTACATTAACAGAACCTTGCAAGTCTGAAAGTATAATCCTCCCTGGTCTCCTTTATAGCCCAAGAAACTAGGGAGGGTCCGTTCTGAGCCTCATGACCCACCCACTGTCCAGCTGAGGGCTATGCTGTCTCTTATCTGACCGTTCCCTTGGCAGCGTCTCTTGGCCCTGTCTCCCAAGGTCTTTCCCACATACCATTACACAAAATTAGTGGATAATAATTTCTAGGATTCAACTTCCCTGCTGGTTTGTCCCAGGAATGAATGACTTCCACAATCCCCCAACAAAGAAACAAAATCAGTTCCCCTTGACTTACCCCGTGCAAAGTAGATGATACCGTTTTTTGAAGTACAGGCACAAATTCTTCTACAGGCGAAAAAGCATTGGGTGCTAACACTTGATAAAGGCTGAGCTTCTTGGCTGCGGCAAGAAAGAAAGAAACATGAGTCCAGCAACTGAGGCCTTTGGGCTGAGCTGGTACCATTCCAGAGGGAAACCTTACCTACCTTGCAAGCCATTCGTTTTTAACCATTCTGCAGAGGTTTTGGCCAAGAAGTTAGGGATTTGGATTGCAAGAAGGCGTTCGTGCTGGGGAGGTTTGGATAGCTGCACCAGAGATGAAGACTTTACACGCTCCATTGAACTCTAAGCAGAGATATAGTCAAAATGTCCTCTGTAAAAAACAGTGTATTCTTGTTCCCGTTGAATACTCAACTACCACAAGATTTTAATTAAAGGGGGGGCTACTAAAAGTGTTTTTTTTAATAATCTCTACATATTTACTTGTATCGTTTCTTTTCCCCGCATCATGTAATGGTATGTGGGAATGACCTTGGGAGAGAGGAGGAAGAGCTGCAGATTAGGCAACGGTCAGATAAGAGGCAGCTGAGTCTGCAGAAGGAATGGGGACATGGCAAATGCCTTAGAAGGGACCCTCCCTAGTTTCTTGAGCTGTAAAGGTGAGGGGGGAGAGATGTACTTCCAGACTTACAAGATTCTGTTAATGTAATCTTACAATAAAGTAGAGCTAGTACTTCTGGGTGTGCTTCTTGTCTGGACTACCTCGCAAGGCTGACATCAATCTTGCAAGTCTGAAAGTACATCTCTCCCCCCTAGTCTGTGGCTCTTCCTCCTGTCTCCCAGGGTCATTCCCACAGACCATTACCCTTCCCTTCTCACGGTGTGCATAATGCCTTGTTTCATCTTCACCACCAGTCTGTGAATTAAGTTAGACCAGGAAAGAGAATAACCGGGCAAAGGTTACCAACTTTCTCCAACCCAGTGATCTCCAGATGTATTGGAATGAAACTTTCAGAATTTCCAGTGGTATTTACTATGGTGTCTGTCTGGGAATACTGGAAGGTGACATTAGATGCTTCAGAACAGTGTTTCTCAACCTTGGTGACTTTAAGATGCGTG